ACGCCATTATAATCCGTGCTGAACAAATTCCATTTATCCATGTTACAAATTCAATCTATCCGGTGAACGTTAAGCGACGGTTTCTATATAGCGGAAAGACCACGGCAAATCATGAGGTGCAATCACTAGGCTATTCATGACAAATTATATACTCGTTTTCGCACCTACCTGAGGCGGTTCACAGCTTAATGTTCAGTGAGGTGACATCCACAAAACTATCGCTATTCCCGAAATGGACGATTTTGTCTCGCTGTTACTTTGGCAGGGGGAGGCGAACTTGCAGTGAGGTGCCGAATTCTTTATAATAAATTAAACATTCTATAAAAATCTGAGAAGACTTTTAAGGCTACCTAGAAATATCGAGATGTGAAGGCTTCCTACAATCTACTAGGTTAAGCCTGGTCATCATAAGTTAGTGCATGTCTTAATAAATATTTTTCAAGAGATGTCTAGGCAATTAGAATTGCCCATCTTAGATACACAGTAGCTGCTGAAACTGTCTTATTGTTACAATGATGTTTCATACAAGACTCGACACCACTCCACTTGGAAATTTAATTGCATAACAAATATAATCGATGATATGACGAGACGCTTGCTCAATGGTTCATTAGTTCACAAACTGACGTGAAAACATTTGTGATACCAAACTAATACCAAATTGTAGGACGCCTTTATATCTCGATGAATCTGGGTAGCCTTACAAGTCTCCTCTGATTTTCACAAAATGTGTGATTTGTTGCAGACAATTTGTCACCTCACCACACGTTCGCTTCCCCACTCCCAAAGTAACAGCGAGACAAAATCGTCGATTTTGGGGAGTAGCGCTAGTTCCGTGAATGTCACCTGACTAAACACTGAGCTGTGAACAGCCTCCGGTAGGTACGAAAACGAGTATAAGTTTTGTCAATAATTGCCTTGTGATTACAACTCATGATTGCCCGTGGTCTTGTAAATACATATAAAACTTTGCTTAACGTTCACCGGATAAGAGGAGAATTTGCAACATGGAAAGGGGAAGCTTGCAAGTTCGCACATAGCATCTTGGAGTTGAGAGCGCCACAGAATCATCCAAAGTACCGCACAAAACCGTGTGTGATTTACACAATCACTGGAGCCTGTCCATTTGGAGTAAGATGCTTTTTCGTTCACCGTAATAACCCCCCCTCCACCATGGTGTTTCGGGACAACGCCAGTCTCAACTACTCCCTTTAACCTTTTGTCCTAGCACATCCGACGGCTGTTCTACCTGATACTGTATTACATTTTTTAATTGTATGTCCAATCACTGCGAATAAATTTTGATGGATCTTGAAAGAGACCTGGAAGGTGGATGTGTGCAACAAGAAGGGATCTGAGAAGGCGGTGTTTATAAGCTTAGAAAAGGGTGACACATCAGCAAGCGTTTCTGTTACTACAATGAACACAAGTGCAACTAGCATTATACTACTTACGACCAAACTTATTAGAAAATACCATTGCTAGAAAAGGGTTGTGCATTCATTTCGTAGCAGGGTAGAGAGCTGTAGTGAGTCTTGTTGATATATGCTGAATAATGACGTCGTCGCTGCCTCAAAGCTGAACGAGCTAAAGTGGAAATGGAAGAAATCGGAAATTGTAATCTAAATACTTTAGATGGGAGCTCTTATTGCTGCCATTTCTGCGCAAATTTTTTTTTGGTTAGCGAATATGCATGAAAAAAATTTGGTGTACATAAATGTTTGATCATCACTTGTATGATTTTCTTTGTCGGCTTATAAATTTTTTATGGGCTATTTTTTGTCCCACTCTTTCCAAGTCTTGAACACTAGGTCTACAGCCCTTATCAAGCGTTTTCTGTGTAGTAAGTTTTTCAGAAATGATTTTCAACCAAACTCATTCTAGGAATATCCGCTAAGCACTTTATGTCTATATGCTGGCAGTCGACATTGCTACTTTTCAGCCCTGACATCTATTGCATCGCAGACACGATTTTCTTTTTGTAAGCAAACATTTAGACATTAAGTGTAGGTGACATATCATGGACTCATGGTCACGAATGCACTAATAATGTCTTCACTGTCAATTCACCTGGTTTCAATGTGCGCTTTCTTTGCAACTTAATATTAGTGGCTGCGACAAATGGTTTTTTACTGCTAATACTTACAGATATGAAAATTTAAACAAACGTGTAATGCGCAACTGCTGGTGTTTATTTGAGCTCCAGCATATTTTTATTAATTCAAATTATTATGTGGATTTTTAAACATGCCATTCTTAATTATCCTGCCACGCATTGACTATTTCTAATCTAGTGGCTAATAGCACAATAAAATTTAGACGCATCGAAAAATACCTGTGATGAACGAGGCAGAATTGAACAAGAATTTTTGTTTCAACTGCTGACAAAAATATACAGGAAATGATCATCGGCATTGCAGTATTTTTAAAAATATTGTTCATTTAATTGAATTAATAAAGAAACACAGAAAAGTAGGCCTGTTTAAATCAAAATTCAGCAACACTAATTTGCAGCCGCTTATTTCGTCAAACCTTTTTCGCACCAAAAATAACTACATTTAGGTTAATCCTCACACAACATTAATAGCACTTCATGTGTTAGCGTGATTTAAGGTGTGTGAACAAGCCACAGGCGACGCATTTTATGAAGATAATTCGTGTTGAAATTCCACCGTTGGGTCTGAAATTTAGCTGACTGATTTATTTGGACTGCAGTTAGTATTTAATGTGTCTTGAAATGCCTTGAATATGATGCCTGACGGATTTGATATTTCTAAAGAATTTCTTGGTAATCTGATACGAAACAGGCAATTTATTGCACTAAATTTGTTGAAGTGGCAAGCGGTTGATTTCTTTCGGTCTAAACACAGCCTCATTTAATGCCTGATAAAGCTAATCAGGGAGCGTTTCTGGATTAGAATTAATCAGAGTAGTTGGCATAATCCAGACCGTCAGACCTAAAAATGAAATTCACCTTGACAGTTATGTTTGAAGACATAGGTAGTTGAGGACATGCCTCTGAACTTAGACATTATGTGGTATACAAAAATAGCATGTTAATTTACACCAAGACAAAACATTGAAAAAAAATTAGCATGTTTCTTTCCAACCACAAATGGAACCCACAGTTGACGTTGCTATACATTTAATTCACGAGCAGCATGCGTTCAAATAGTTGACTTCCAGAGCGTGGCATGTACATAAAGAGATGTATTTGGATCACAAAGGCTAACATGGACATTTATCGTGTTCATTGCAAATGATCGTCAAAAACTCCAGACTGAATAATAGGCAAATTCACTATTTTCTAGTTAGGAAACTAGTGCTGACTTAATTGGCAG